GGTGCTGGCCCTGACACTGACACCCCTTCTCGGCTCGGCCCGTATGTCCTCGCCCCTCCCCCCCTCCTCAGGTCTGCCCATCATTGCTCAAATGTCTTCCAAGAAGGACCTCGAGCGCCTTCTCTGTCTGAGCGCCTTCCAGAACCGGTGTCAGCGGGGCATCTTCTGTGACTCGATTCACTTCTTCCCTCCCTCGGAGGAGGTGAAGAACTATCTGCTGTCCATCCAGAGGTATGTTTACCGGTCCAGTCTCCATGCATGCACGCACGCACGCACGCTCTCCCAAGCACATGCATGCCCCATGCTTCCCATCTTCCCCACCCCCCGCCCCATCCAGCCCTTTGCTAACCTGAGCCATGTGTTCTCTGGTCAGCTCCTCATCGAGCGCCCCCCCGCCGGCCCCTGCCCCGGTCCGCTCCCTGAGTGCCGACGAGATCACTGCCAATAGTACGCCCCTCTGTCTGGCCCCCCTCCCGCTCTCCCGCTCTCCCGCTCTCCCGCTCTCCCGCTCTCCCGCTCTCCCCTAACCCCTTTCCTCCCCTTCGCAGCATCCATCATCATCATCGAGCCCGGAAGTCAGCCGCCCCCGGACGAGCATCCCGACTTGTATGACATCCTGCTGGCCCAGTCGCGGGCCATCGTGACCAGCTCCCTGTCGGACCCGACCTCCTGGGTGAACCTGACGCCGGAGGGGTCCAACCAGCCGCCGCGCCCGCTGACCCCGGCCGACATCAGCTCGATGGATCGCTTCACCGGGAACTTCCTGGCCTCGGACCTGGACCGGGACTTCAGCAAGACCACCACCATCCTCCTCCTGGCCAGTCGGGACTTCGTCGAAAAGAACGCCCCCCAGTCGGTGGTGGACGCCGTGCCGTTGAGCTACCGCGAGGCCCTTCGTGGCCGGCTCATTGTCGGCACCATTTCCTACACGTCCGGGGAGAAGTTCACCGCCGGCGGTGCCACAGGCGGCAGCGCCTCCGCCGAGGACCCCGCCGGGTCGGCCATTGTCATGGTCCGGAATCTGGCCGTGGCCTCCTGGGGCCGGCGCATGGGCTTTGGCCGGTTCCTGTGGAATGTGGCCTTCCTGCCGGCGGCCCAGCGCCAGGGATACCGCAGCGTCACCATCCACACCACCTCCAACTTGGGGCCGGCCCTGGCCTTCTACTCGCGTATCCCGGCGCTCGAGCGGAACTTCGGCAACAAGATGCTGGCGGACGGAACCATCAAGAAGGTGTACTATGATGGGCCCTTGGCCCCGGTGGCATGAGGGCGAGCCGGCACTCGTGGCCACCCCCTCGGCCGTGCGCTGGCGCAGCGGGCGTGTCCTCCCCTCTCCCTTCCCTTGCCACTGCTATCCGCCTCTCCCCTCGTCCATTCCCGGCGCGGCGGTAGCGTTGGTTGTCCGGTTGCCCTGCATGCTCCTTGT